GCCCCTGACCCAAGGTTAATTTTGTTAACACAGATTCAGAGTTTCACAGTGCGATCAAATATCTCGCAACACTTATCAATCATTTACTATCAAACCTTCCCCTCACAGTGTTAATCTCTTCTCAATATGTTCAGAGACATTAGTTATTCCAGCAAGTTCATACCATGTTTTCATTGTAGACATCTCTCCATTGCTTCTTGTTTGCTCTTCAGAGGTGCTCCGTTGCCTCCCTGCACCTCCCTCCATGATGCATTTTGTGGGTTCACTTTGCTTCTATCTATGCGAGGCTCCTGTAACTTCCTCTGTGTTGGCCACTATAAAGTGAAGTGCATTTTTGGGGAGCTCCCTCCAAACAGGCTGTGAGATGACAAATGACCTATTTCCATTGAGGGGGGAGCATATTTCCTTCTCCTATGACCAGGACTAGCCTGTGACCATCGCATCTAACAGAGTAACGGAAGTGATACCAGGCTCGTGCTCATCTAGCCTGCAAGAGGACTGGCAGCGTGTAACCTGTGGTGGAACCACATAAGAAGTCTGACTGACCAGGCTGTGAGGAAGCCCAAGCTAGACAGGTGGCAAGGTGATGGGCACATACAGAGAAATGCTCAGCCGCAGTCCAGCTGCTCAAGTCGTTGGAGACCCTCGACGTTACGACTCAGAGACCACCTACCTCCCCTGTGTTCTGTTCACACTGTCAGTTCCATGAGATATAGTCCATGTAAGTCCATACTTACATGTAAGTAACTACTAAGTCTGGATGTAGTTTTTGTCTTTGTCTCCATGAGGACATTTGACAATGTCTGATGACCAGAACCTGGGAGGGTAGGGCAGTTTACTATCTACTTTAATGTGAATTGTCCAACAATGCTGCTGAATGTCCTACAGGGAACAGCCCAACCCCATAAAACAAGTGTCCTCCAGGCTAATTTGACAATGAGACCAAGGTTGAGAAACCCTGGTCTGCACCAAATATTACTCTAGTACATAGCTAATGTACACATTTGGACTTTCTTAAACACATGACCCATCTTTGAAATACTGTGTTTGTTTAAATTTTCATAGTATACCACTTGGGCATTTGGGCTCCTCTGAGAAGCATTAGGTTGGAACATCCTTTATTATAGTTATTTAATATTTAATATATTCTCTTATATTCTTTCTTTTATTTTAATTAATTTTTTTTAAAGAGAGGGTCTCTTGTATCCCAGTACCGACAGTGTAGGAGAGGATGGCTTTGAACTTCTGATCTGCTGCCCACACCTCCTAACTGCTGGGGTTATAGGTATGTACCTACATGTAGGGTTTCATCTGCTGTTTGAATTCAGGGTTCCGTACATGGTAGACAAGTACTCTACAAGCTGAGCTGCATCCCAGCTGATTCTTTCATGTTTTTAGAAGGGTCAGATTAGTGATTAAAGAAAAAAATAGTAGACAGTAAATTAATATAATCCCTACTTAATTTATCATTTCCCTTTCCCACCTGCAATGGGGTATGGCATAAATCGTCTCTTACGGTTTTCTCCCGGCAGCTCTCCTGCCTTTTCCGAGGGAAGAGCCCACCAGGCTCTTTCCGATCACCAAATAGTACTGCCATTACAGACCTAGAAAGGGCCTTGTCTTAAGTAACAGTGGAACTAGAATAGGAATTTGGGTCTATCCTAACAGGTACCTGGAGTCTGTTGTGGCGTGTTCTTTGAACTAAAGTCAACAACAGTGTTTAAGCCCTTTTAACTACGTAAATTCACCTTCCACAACACAACAAATAAAATGTGTACCCCCTTTGACTTTCATCAAAACTAAAGCCGCCTGAGGCTACCGTTCCGTGTCACCCAACCATACCAAAGGCTGCACCCTGCCACCGCTGATTATGGCCTTGCAGACAAAGTGGGGATTTGCAGCCCTTTGTTGTGACATGCAGCACGCTTGGGAGGCTTGCAACAGCTACGTCTGGAGGACAGCTCTGTTTGCAGGGCGGATTCACTCAGGCTGAACTCAGCAGTTAGTCATGGCTGCTTATTTCACCCGTTCTCACTCCCCAGCTCCACCTCATTCTCCAGCCTCACCAGCTAAGTCTAAACACTGGGCACAGAAGGTCTCTGTGTCCTCCGCCGGCCTCATCCAATCAGCGACTTGTGATACATTTTTGAAGCTAACCACTTTGCTCTAGTTACTCTCTCTGTAGAAGGCAGCTACTGGCTGTCTTACTCATCTTCTCAAAGTCAGTAACCCAATAGGAGTTCTTTGACATCTTCAGAGAGACGAGGGGCCTGAAGGAAATCCATGGCTCAGACCGCTTCTGCCTCCTCAGTCCTGTGACTGGAAGTTCCATCATTCCGTTCCTTCCTGTCCTTCTTTTCTCTAAGCAGAATGTTTATATCTCCAGACTGGGTTTTAATGGAGGTCATCCAGCCTCTTGCCTGGCCACAGACCTGACTGGATAACCCGCTATCCCTGGCCCTCCTTTCATGGACACTGGGTATTTCTGTATCAGTCAGTACTTCACTGAACACTTCCTACTTGTTCCTGTTTATTTTCTCCTTTCCTCTGTGTACGTGGTCCTCCCTTTCCTGTGTACATGGTCCTCCCTTTCCTCTGTGGACATGGTCCTCCCTTTCCTCTGTGGACACGGTCCTCCCTTTCATCTGTGGACATGGTCTTCCCTTTCCTCTGTGTACATGGTCCTCCCTTTCATCTGTGGACACGGTCCTCCCTTTCATCTGTGGACACGGTCCTCCCTTTCATCTGTGGACACGGTCCTCCCTTTCATCTGTGGACATGGTCCTCCACTAAAGTCCACTTTGAGGGGAGGACTGTCCACCAGCCTCCTTCACACGACAGCTGACTGTGTTGTGGTCCTAATGGGCTACCATCATGGAAGGGCAGCAGATGTGCTTAGAATAGATGTGCCCTACATGTGATTCTTATGTACCTGTGTGCCGGTGACTTTCCTGTTGAGGCAAACAGAGCAGAGGATTAATACCTCCAGGGTGTCAAAGAATAACAAATGCAGAATTTTAGCTTTTGCTAACAAACATTTTTGTATTGAGTATAAGACGGGAAAAAATTAAACCATAAGCAGAAAGGTAGAAACATTTTCTGCGTTCTTCCCTACCCTCACTACGACACAAAGACCCCAGGAACTCAGGCAAGGGGGGAGATGCAGGAAGCTCAGGAAGTTGGTGTTTGGGGGCCTCCTGCCCTGACTCTCAGGGTTGAACTCTCTGATCCCAGTTCCCCTGGCTTTTGCAGATCCCTTCTGGGACCCATCTGCATCCCAGAGAAAGAGAGGTAGCACTGAGGCGGAAGGTCACTTAGTCCACGCTGGGCCAGTGTGAGATCCTTTGGAGGCCTGGAGGATGGAGGGTGGCTCACCTTCCTCTGCTTCCTTAAGAAAGGTCCTGGGAATTGGGAAAGTGTAGGGGAAGCGGGGAGTGGGAAGAGGAGAGACAGAGAGGAAGAGGAAGGGGGGATAAGAGGGGGAGGGATACTGGTCAGCAAGTCCATTAGAGAGAGTAAGGGGAAGGAGATGGAAAACTAAGAAGAGAAATAGATGTATTACTTCTCCCTAGCTTGGGTTGAGATGATCTGTGAGTTAGCAAAGCATCCCCTAAGACAGTGGTTCTCAACTTATGGGTCGCGACCCACACACATGCTGCCTATCAGTTATTTACATTACGGTTCATGACAGTAATGAAGTAGCAACAAGATAATTTTATGGTTGGGGGTTCACCACAACACAAGGAACTGTGTTAAAAGGTTGTAGCATTAGGGAGGTTGAGAACCATTGGCCTAGGATAAGCATAAGGCTAAAACTGCTTTGTAGGTCTGAAGTGGTAGATTATTGGCAATATCATTTCATTTTTTTCCGGCGCTGCAGGCTGGACTGTGTGACCACTTTCACAAGTGTTAAGTACCTCTTCCTTGAAAAATGAAAACTGCACATCCACCTTGGAATGCTGACCATTTAAAATTGCATATTAACACACATTATCCATTCAAAAGCTCCGTTTCCCCTTTTGATTTCTAAAGAAATAAGAACAGTGTTCAGAGCCACTAAACTTTGTGGGATCCCTGGGCCTTGCACCCTGTGCTTGGACGGATGCCAGTGCTGGGGAGGGGGAGGAAATAGGCCAGGATGTGGTTCTACTGAGGCTCTGCACGCTGTGCCCTTTGAGGCTTTATGGTTCCTTTCTGGAGTTAGAGGGGTTAATCCCCACTCTGGCCTTCCACAGGTGGGTATGCCTTCCGGTGCCCAGCTCCAAGTCCAGCGCATGCAGGTAGTAAGGATGCCCCCATTTCAACTGAAAGCTGATTGTTCAGTTGGGGCTTTGGCTTGTGTGTGTGAATTAGCCTGAACGCTGCACATTTTAATATTTTAAAAGCAGTCAAAATCTCAAAGCTTTCTCCTTTCCATATGGATACCACTGTCTCCACTATCCAGGCGACTATTTCACTGGTGGGTATACTGACACATTGGCAACGGGCAGACCTCGTTCCCGGGTCCCCCACAACTAATTACCCTTTGAAAACTGGCAGAAAACATATAGGATCCTCCTTTGAAAGCCACAGGGGCCTGTGTGAGTGAATGATGTCTTATCCCTTTGCCCTTTAGGAGTTAGCAAGATGAGCCGCGGCGCTTGCCCCACTTCTTCCTCAGAGCCAACCACCCACGTCTCAAGCGCCTCGGGAGAATGAGGTAGCTCGGCTGATTATCCTGAGGTGATAGGAGAGCAAGTGGGAGGCAGCTTGTCAGGCCAAGGTTCTGACTAGAAGGAGCCAGGCATGAACAGATAACCGATCACAGCTCTGGCTCACAGATTTAATTGGTTACTTTTAGTAGCGCACATACCTCGTTTAATGAGAGTCACTCTTCAGCTGATATGAGTGAAGGTTTGCTGACGGGTAATTCTTACTTTGCTTGTGTAAGATCCAGTCTCCTGTTTCGACCTTGCAAGCACGATCCTTCCTCCCTCCTCCCTCCCTCCCTCCTCCCTCCCTCCCTCGCTCCCTCCCTCCCTTCTTCCTGAGCTCATCCCCCAGGTTCCTGTATCTCAGGCTGACTCTGACTCACTAGTAGCAGAGGATGACCTTGAACCCTCCACCACCCCCTGCTTTCACCTCCCAAGTGCTGAGATTACAGTTCTGTACCACCTGGCCGAGTACAGAATCTTTTGTGCTTTGAGGAGTGACTTCCCAGAACTGCCTTCCTCTGTGCTTTCCACTGTCTTCCTCATCCACAGGTATTTATTAAGCGTGTATTCTATTCATCAACTGATGCCAGACATTTATTCACATTTTATTAACTTAAAAATTATGATGCTTTCACATCGAGGCAGCCCACAGCCACCCTGATGTTGATTGGTTTTCCTGCCTAGCATAAGGAGCCCCTTCACATTCCTCTCTGCCGACCTCTTAAGGACCATTTGAGGTAGGCCTGTGAGCAGAGTCATTGTCATAGTATTCTGTTAGGTCGGTAATGATTAGCACTAAAGTTTGCAAAATGGCTGATGTGCATGGCTTGAAAGACAATCCCAGGGTTAAAAGGGAAGCTCTTTGCAGAAATACTGTCCTCTCAACGCTCTGGAGGCACAGGTAATGATGATGTAGCTGGTCACTCTGATGTGAAGCTGACTCAGACTCCGGGTGAAGAAGAAATTGAACCAATTTCTTCAGAAAACGTTTTTCTTTGTGTGAATGTGCAAGAGAAATATGCTAAATGGCTATGGATAAATTTGTTGCTTGAATCAAGTAGAGAAACGTCTAAGAACAAAATATAGTGCCTTCATTTTATTAAGCATCATGTCATCTTTGCAGGCTGTCTTAGTTAGGGTTTTTATTGCTGTGAAGAGACACTATTATGACCATTGCAATTCTTATAAAGGCAAACACTTAATTATGGTGGCTCACTAAGCATTCAGAGGTTTAGTCCATTATCGTCATGGCAGGAAGCAAGGCAGCATGCAGGCAGACGTGGTACTAGAGAAGGAGCTGAGAGTTCTTACATCTTGACTCACAGGCAACAGGAAGTGGTCTGAGACAGTGGGTGTGGCTTGAGCATATATGAGACCTCAAAGCCCACCTCCACAGTGACACACTTCCTCCAAAAAAGCCATACCTACTCCAACAAAGCCACGCCTCCTAATAGTGCCAATCTCTTTGGGGCCATTTTCTTTCAAATCACCACAGAGGCTATCTTTCCCTTTCTCTCTCTCTCTCTCTCTCTCTCTCTCTCTCTCTCTCTCTCTCTCTCTCTCTCTCAAGATTATGTTTTAAAATTTTTTATGTATATGATTATTTGTCTGTTTGTGTGTGCCTGTGCCTAAGGAGACCATAAGAAGGCACGAGATTCCTTGGAACTAGAGTTACAGTTGTGTGTGAGCAGCCATGTGGATTCTGGGAATGGAATGCAGTCGTTCGCGAGAACAGCACGTGTTTAAACCACCGAACCGTCTTTCTAGCTCCTCTCTCCATTTCTCAACGGTCTATAAAATAGCTGTTCATTTCATCATGGGACCTAGTGCTAGTCTTGAGAGTCTGCTATCATTATGTTTGGTTTTGCAGTATATTTCATTAAGGAAATATTTACTGAATGCCTATGACGTTGGCCAAGTGGTGCTAGGTGCTATAAATGGATAGGTGCAGTCTCAAACTTCCAGAGAGGGACAAATACGATGGAGAAAAAAATGTGGAATGCATTATGAATATATTGTAAAACAGTTCAACACTGATGCCCAAGACATAATTCCTGTTCTCAAGACAAAGATAGAGAAAAAATTTAAAATGGTAGATGAAATGCCATGAACTCCTCTCAATTCTAGAGGAAATGAGTTACTGTTCCAAAATGCCAATGAGGACTTGCTGACTGACTATCCAAGATAGGCGACCATGTTAGAAATCCACAGAGTAAGTGGGAAGCTGGAGAGTCCTGCTTGTAAGTAGTTCAAGTGGCAGAGTTAACTAGTGAGGGGCAGGAGATGGGTCTAGACTGTCTTGGGAGATCTTGAGCCCTGTAGTGAGAGCTTGGTCCTTATTTCACACACAGTGAGTTAATATCCCAGGGCATTAGGCAGGGTTAGGCCAGGTAATATTTCCATGTTAGAAAGACCACTCTTGCTGAAGATGCAGAGTGGATTCATCCTACCTCCTTTTCCTTGCCCCCCAAGCAATGAAACCAATTACATTAATTCAGTTAGAGGAGGAGGAGGAAGTGGAGGAGGAGGAGCAGGAGGAGGAAGAAAAAGAAGAAGACAACGATGATGAAGAAGGGGGATAATGCTGTTTAATTTCTCCAAGTTAATGGCATATTAATTATGATCATGCAAAAACTGTCAAAACTGTTGACTTTGGTAACCTATGGCCCCTGCCCAGTCATAGTAACTACAATCATTTTTAAATGAAGTCCTGTCAAGTTACTTGACTAAAAAACAGATTAATAAATCTACTGAACCAGAGAACAACAGATCAATAAAATCGCCACCCCAATTATGTGACGAAGTCAAAAATCAAAGCGTTCAGTTGCCCTCCTGAGCTTCTGAGGTGTTGGAGAATTTTCATCTGAGATTTATCAAAGGTTCCAGAGAGTCAAAGAATGGTTCAAATGAAACTCGATTGATTTTGTGTTTCCGCCGGAGATTTCTACAGGTCATAGCCTGTCAGGTAAAAAAGAAATCATATATATATATTTTTAACCAGAGCTTCCTTTTATAGTGCAGAAGTGAAAAGGCCCCACTCAGGGGGGCTGGACTGATAAATGCTGGTCACGTGTCTGTTTAAACAGATGCAAATGAAAATGCCAAAAGGCTCAAGTTCAAAGCAGGGATTCAGCACCTGAGAAACGTCCGTTTATGACATTCCGCTTCTTCGGAAAAGTAGGTGGTTAGAAATGTTTCTTCCCACAGGCTGGCCAGGCAGACAGCTCTGTGTGGCTCTCTCATAGTCCACTGGGCTACTGGCCTTTCTTCTTTAGGCCCATCGAGAGAGAAAGGTTGCTCCTCCGGAAGGTTCCATGTCACCCAGAGTGCTGGCATCTCTCCCTTGTGTCATTTCTCACAAGGAAGTCAAATGGGTTTTTTTCTAAACATTTTATCTTCGGTGCTTTTCTGGATGTGTGGAAGGGTGGGTTAGTCCTGCAGGAAACCATTTAAGGAATGTAGATAATACGGATCTGTGTTGAGTCATCCTGTCAGAGAGTAATGTGCAGTGAGCTTCCTAGTAAGTTATTTATCATACCCCAAGGCTTGATGGGATGCAGCTTCCTTGATGAAGAGATAAAAAGGAAAGACATAAAAGCAAGGTTTAAAAAGAAAAGATTCATTAAAAGTGAATCTACCTTTTGGCTTTAACCTCTTGGAGTTTCAAAAATTATTATTTATTGGTATTACTGAAATTTTTCATCACAGAAATTTACTTTGTAGAACATCTTTCCGGAAGATCAAGAGTCCGGCGACGACGAGGGAGAGAACGGAGTTACAAAGAAACAGAAGTGTAGACTGATGGAGAAAACCAGAAGGATTTGGAGGTGAGAAGGGGGAAGGGAAGGAGAGAGGGAGGAGAGAGATGGAGGCAGACAGAGAGTCTGGAGAAACTGACTTCGCTAGATCACAGTCCTGGGAAATGCAGTTAAAGAGACCACGTCCCCAGAAAATAGATACAACCGCGCTGGAAAAGCAGTAGCTTTGTTCTGTTGAAGTCAGTGGGGGGAGCTTGGTCCAGGTGGCCAGAGAGGACTCCTGACTGGTCACAGAGAACTGAACTAGCCCCCAGGACCAGTGGAGTCTAAATGGAATAAATCACAACTCTTCCCTTAAAGTGAAGGCATGGGGTTTTGTGGGGTATCCACCAGAAAAGACTGCTTGGATATGGGTTTAAGCCAATAGAAAGTCTTTATTAGCCAGCCAGTGACTACATTGGGTGCTCAGGATCCCAGTGTAGCACTGAGCCTTTCTCAGGGTGTGCTTTTAAGCACAAAAACCATGTTCTGGGTTGACATACTTCAGTTAATAAGAACAGTTAGCCAGAAGCAGAACTACAGAAGCCAGAAATCAAGGTTAGTACATTCAGAGACTTTCCCAGAACTATGGACTTTGATGGATTAGGTCTTTGTTTTCATTTTTGGCAGATGGTGCTGTCTACATGCCGAGTTTTAATGCTTAAATGGCACTTCCATCATGGAGTCACCTGTGCTAAGATCTGGGGCTTTGTTACAAGGTAAAGGTTTCTAAGGTGCTTTGCTGTTCTAGAAGGCTGTCTCTTAGGGTCAGTGGGGGGAGGGGATCAAGAAAGAGTGAGGAGGAAGGGAGGGGATACTTCATTACATGATGAAATTTAGTTCAAATCCAGGCTGTTTGCCCTCTGTTCCCATTGCTCTCCTAGACAGCACTTTGCTAGTAAACAACCCTTAGAAAGTATGGCCGATTTTCAGGGCCACATTAGGCCTTTTCTAAAGAAAACAATACAATAAATCAGGCTTTTACTATCTTTTTAAGGACTTATCTAGTTTATGTTATGTATGCAAGTAGTCAGCTTGCATATATGTATATGTATCCCATGCATGCCAGGTGCCTGCAGAAACCAGAAGAGGTTGTAAGCTGCCATGTGGGTGCTTGGAACCAAATATGGGCCTTCTTGAATAGCAGTAAAGATTCTTAATTGCTAAAAACAATCTCTCCAGCCCCAAATCAAGGCTTTTAAAGTCACCATTTAACCATTTGAAAGGACTGATATGTGAACTATGGAAGGAACAAGTTGAATTGTTTGTTCATATAAAAGGGAGGGAGGGAGCGAAGGAGGGAGGGAGGAAGGGAGGGAGGGAGGGATGGAGGGAGGGAGGGAGGAAGGTAGAGAGGCTCAAGTCTGTAATCCCAACAAGTGGAAGGTTAAGGCAGGAGGATTGCCATGAGTTTTAGGCTAGTCTGAGTGACACTGTGAAACCCTGTCTCAAAACAAACAAAAAGATGAACAAGGAGACTATATTAGACATAAGGCTGAATTCCCTCTTTGCCGATTTTCTTATTGCAATTGTTCCCAGCCTCTCCAGTGAGACTTTATATCTACCAGCTGACCAATAGCAAGCTTTATCACTTTTTAGGGATGGAATCCAAGGTCCTGTGCAGGATACTAAAACACTTTACAGCTGAGCTGAACCCCCAGCCAAGTCCACTGCTTTCTTTTTATTTTTTAATAACTCATTTTATGTACATTGGTGTTTTGCCTACATGTAAGTTTGTGTGAGGGTGTCAGACCCCTTGGACCTGGAGTTACAGACAGTTGTGAGCTGACATGTGGTTGCTGGGAATTGAACCCAGGTCCTCTGGAAGGGCAGCCAGTGCTCTGAACCGCTGAGCCATCTCTCCAGCCCCCTGCTTTCTTTACAGTCCCTCTCGGTAGAATGGTACAGTATTGCTTTTTCTGTGCTTTTTTTTTTTTTTTTTTTTTTTTTTTTGGTTTTTCGAGACAGGGTTTCTCTGTGCAGCTTTGCGCCTTTCCTGGGACTCACTTGGTAGCCCAGGCTGGCCTCGAACTCACAGAGATCCGCCTGGCTCTGCCTCCCGAGTGCTGGGATTAAAGGCGTGCGCCACCACCGCCCGGCTTTTTTTTTTTTCTGTGCTTTTAACACCAGCACTAATGGTCTGTTTTTTTGATTGCTATGACTTTAACGCTATGTGTGAGTATATTCCTATTCCTTTGAACTGCATGTAGCATCCTGAGGCAGACAGGTCACAGTGTCTACAGTCATTCTCCTGTGATTTATAATTAGGTGATTATTCCCCTTGGTTGGTTGTTTCATGATACTGTAAACAAATACTCCATCTTTATATAGGCCTCTGTGCACCTATGTAGCTATCTCTTTCTCTAAGAGATAATTCTTTCTAGCCTTTGGGTCTCTAGGTCACACAAAAGCAGTATGAGTTTAGCTCTAGGCCTAAGAGAATCTAGTAAGTTGTCTCAAAGTTGAAGAGCCAGGGAGAATTACGCTTTAATCTTTGAAAATCATCAGTCCATTTCCCAGCTACATAGGATGACTATGACCTCTCTGTTATAGATGACATCCAGAAAATGATGACAGCATTTACATAATTCTCTGTTTTGGAGTTTGTATGTTAGATATACACTTCAGGTATAAAATGGAATCACTTTATATTTGAATTTTTTTGTATTATATAATTTTTGTATATGAAAATCTATGTAAACCAAGACTTCTAGAATAACACAGAGAGACATTGCGTAAGAATATTGTCTTGTCTCTTACTGAGTGCTTAATGCGTAAGAGGAGAGGGGAGAGACAAAAAGGGGTAATGTCCAAATTAAGCAACCAATCAGCTCCCACGGTCACTTCTGACATGCAGTGTCTACACCGGCAGCTTCAGGATCAATCCACTTGCAAATCCTTTGAGCAGTTGTTTGCAGGCCACCAGCTAATGAAGCTCTTTGAGGGCTCTGTTATTAATGGGATGGGGCCAGAGCGGGGATAAAGAAAGAAAGAGTGGACTGAAGGAGAGAGCTTGAAGAGCAGCCTCCCTTCCCTCGCCACTTGTGGAAATCCATTTCAGCTCAACTGGGACCAATTGTGAGTCTTGGCCTTGGGCAAAATTCCTATTTGCAGTCAATAAATTAATGGGTGACACCTTGAAAAGGGTTGGCTAACCGAATCAATGTCTGATGTGGCATTCTATCCTCAGGCCAAATTCCCAGTGAGCTTCTTAGGTTGGAGCTGATTGAGGCGATGGCAGGACCCTTGAACTCTGTTTTATTTTAACTCTATTTTGAAAGGCAATATTCAGCAGGCTAGAGGCACCGACCCTCTCGGTGTTCCTGTTCTCGCTCACCTCCTCCTCTAACAGGCCCAGGACGGACTGACGTTAACCGATCTCATTGGGACAGAGCTTGACAATGTATGGAGCTCTTTGTCTGCTGATGGCAGTTTAATGTTTCCTCTGAAAAGCTGGTCCAGAAAGCCAGAGGTGACTGTTTCCTCACAGTAGCTCCTTTGCAAACCTCTGGACAGCAGGAAGCCGAGAAGGGCGCTCTGTTGGTTCAGCTGGGTTTTACAGCTGAAGATAACATGAACCGCAGATCCGCCGGGGCTCATGTTTTCTCGGAGGGGGAGGAAAACTCAGGGAGCAAAATAAAGAGAAGTTGAGATTTAATGTTTCATAACTGTGTGCTCTTTTCCAGGTTTTATTCCTGTAATAGTCTCTGTGTGTGGCCAGGCCCTTTGCAACATAGAGCTATTGAAGAAAAGGGAGAGGAAAGAGGAAAAGGGAGGAAGGGTGGAGGAATGGATAAAAAAAAATGAGCCAGCCTATGGGGTATGGTAGGAGGGAGAGAACTGCTTTCAAGTCCTGACCGTGACCTTAACTGGATGTAGTCAAGGCCTCTGGGGGAATTAAGCTGCCCATTTGATTTTGAAAATAGAATAGGGGACCAGTACGCACAGAGAATTTATAGCGAAGCCAGAAGAGGGAAGTGACCCACTTAGTATCTCCTCTGGAAAAAGTGGGTTCTTGAGGCAACAGAAAGGTGTTGGGTGGGGAGCTCCTCTTTCCCTGACAGTGTGCACCGGGGTGGGGGTGGGGGTGGTGGGGCTGCTAGGGGAGCAATCTGATGGGAAAGATAGTAGATAGCATTACAGCACTATCTTTGGATTTTGGAGGATTAAAAAAATAGAAGGAAATTTTCATTTTGATTTTGGGGTGGCGGCGGGGGGGGGGGAAGCATTTGCGTATCCACATTATATCTGCAGCACTGTTCCCACCGAAGACTGAACTTGCTGCTGGAGAGAAGACTACTTTGTTTTCAGGTCGTCCAAGCTATTTCCTGCCTTAGAGCAAGACCCAGTGCAGCTACTGAGCCCTGACAGCATTCCTAGGCCTCTGAGTAGCCTGATTTTAATGAAGGAGCACCGCTCTTTGAAGGACCCAGAAAACACAAACGGCCAAATCTTATCTCTTTCTTCCCGAATACACCTTTCTCTCCAGTGAGAGGCCACAGCTGAGAGATCTGAATGGAACTATAGAAGATGACCGTCATCTTGATTTCTGGGAAGCCTTACATCATCCCAACAGCACATGGTAATGATGACAGGCTGTAGCCCTGGGAAGAGGCCATTAAAATGGGGCCAGCTATCGGTTCTGAGTTAGGTTAGGGATGCCAAGGCAGAGCGTGTGCTGGGCAGGGCAGGGAAAGGGAGGAGAGAAGGACATCGGGAGGAAGGGAAGGATCCACAGTGGCATTTGACGGTGCTCCTTCACTGGTAGGTATTTCTTAGGCGCACAGCGCTGGAGCTGAGGAGATCTCGGATGTTATGAAATACAGTCCCTTCGTTTTACTAGTTGGCTAGGGTGAAGGGCACATTCAAGCTGAGTTCTGGGCTCTTGCTCTCTAGGTGGGTGTCTTCCTTTGCTCTAAGTTGGGCACTTTGCCAAGCAGCTTAAAAATCCTTGGTCTGTGTCTGAATGTAACGTCAGTTCAAGTGATTATTTTCCAGAGTAAGGATTTCAGAAAATGAGTTAGCACTGAGGTGACCCAAGCCAACACTCTCTCCCAAGGCTCTCTCTCCACTGAGCCCTTCACAGCTTGGAGATGGACTAAATGGCCGCAGGGACTGGGGCAGCTTCACCAGCATTAGGAGCCGGTGGCATTGGGGCTGGGGATGTGGGAATGTGGTAGAGTTTGTCTAGTATGCACGAAGGCCTGGGGGGTGCATGCCTGGAATCAGTACTCTGGAGGGGAAGGCAGGAGGGCCAGAAGTTCAAGGTCATTCTCAGTGACATAGAGAGTTTGAGACCAGCCTGGATACACCAGGCGCTACCAACACTGTGTCTCAAAGGATGTAAGAAAGGAAAACTCAAATATCAAACCCAAGTCTAGTGGCTGCACTATTAACCTTTCTAAAATCCCGAGTGGAACCTTTTGTGACACCAGGGCCCGGAAACCCCTTGTCTCATAAGTTCAAATGGGCGTGTTGTTTTCTGAGTTGTTATCACGTTAACTCTGAGAGAACACATTTGTGTTTCTGTCATGTGTGTCGGGCTAGGAACATATTTCAGGATCTGACTTTCTGTGTTAAATGGCATTCAGTGTTAAGTAGTTTTACGGAATCTGTTTCCATGCACTCAGTCCACAAAGTTGAAAATGTTCTAAGGTAAAAAGTCTTCACTACTCCTAACCTAGGGAACATGGCGGGGAATGGTAGATGTTTCCCCGAGTGACCTTAGTCATCTTCCCTGTCACTTCCCAGGATCACAAGACAACATCCTCCTTTTCATGACTGACTAAATCCATCATATAGATGATGGCATGTTTACCATTCATTTATTAATGGATATTTAGGTTAATTTTATATCTTGCCTATTTCAATAATGCTGAATAAACATTTCTCTGACACTGGTTCTATATTTGTGCGTGTGTGCGTGTGTGTGTGTGTGTGTGTGTGTGTGTGTGTGTGTGTGTGTGTGTGTGTGTACACATACATGCTATGGCACACGTGTAGAGGGCAGAAGGCAACTTGCAGGACTTGATTCTCTCCATCCACCCTGTGGGTCCCAGGGATTGAACTCAGGTCTTCAGGCTTGACAGCAGGAGCCTTTACCAAGTGAGCCATCTCACCAGCCCTAAGACATCTCGTGTTGAAGAGATAGTCCCTCTGTGGAGAATATGCCACAGGAAGCAAGGAGGACAATTACAAGGACCAGGGAAGAGAAGTGTGCTTCCCCCTGGGAAGTGGTAGGAAGTGGTCAGATTCTAAATAGACATTAAATTTTAGACCGAAAAGGTTTGCTGATAGGTTAAGCATTCAATGATAGAGGTAATTTAGGAACTTCAAAGCCTTTCCTTGAACAATCAGAGTAGCCTAGTTGTGATTTATTAAGAAATTGTTCGGAAAGCACATTTAGGGAGAGAAATGGACATTCGGCTTTGGCATGCTAAGTTTTGGGCATATGCTAGGCATCAAGCTGGATGTCTGGAGTTTAGAAAGTAGTTCAGGTTAGTGGCAGAAGTTTAGCACCCGCTCTTACAGATAGTACTTAAAGCCGGGGAAAGGATGGTGCTGGAGAGGGACACTAGGTGGTCCCAGGTGAAACAAGACAGGCCTAGGTGCTCTGATTGTTAGAAGGCAGGAACATGGAGTTGGGAGACTCTGTAGAAGCGGCCAGTAGTGGCCCAGAGTGAGATGTTCTGGAGGCCAAGTGTGGGCACACCCAGATCCACAGGAGAGAGAGAGAGAGCTCTTTTAAACTCTGGCCATCTCAGACGGCTTACCAGCCCATGAAATTATGGCACGCCCACAGACTTCCTTCCTGAGGGGGGCAGGGGCTAAGTACCTGCTGCCAAAAATGGAATGGAAAATGAATCTAACTGCCATCCGCTGCTGCTCACACTGCCTGATTAGTAGAGACATTTCAACAATCTTAAGCGGTTCAGCGAAGTCACAAATGTCCCTGAAGCAAATTAACCTAGTCTCCAGGGGGAAGAGTCCTCTCTATAGATGAAGTGCTTGCTCTGGTCACATTTGAAGAGGACATCTCACCTGGAGCTGCAGCATGTTTCTGGATAGTGTGGGAATTAAGGTCGAGCACGTCCCCACGGCAGCAGTGAGGCAGGAATCCAGGACCGAATCTTGCCATGGACCCTGACTTGGAGGATGAGATGTGGGCCTAAGAGGAAGGAGCGCAGAGAAAATGGAAAGCATGGCTCGGGTTTAGGAGATGAGAACACAAAATGCCATCCCAGATATCACGAGACATTCATTGTCACAGGTGGGCTACTAGTGCTCACCACCTGAGGGAGACCTCTGGGAGAGAGTTTTCAAAAGGGTGCAGCCCTCGAGACAGGATTAGTTTCCCCAGTAAGAGCTGTGAGTGATGATCTCTCTCTGCTCTATGAGGATCAGCAAACCAACAGTGTTCTGACCAGAGGTCACTTCGGCTAACACCTTGCCTAGCTTCCTGAACTACGGGAGTAAACGGCCATGTAATATCTCCTGTAATCCACCCAGTTCACCGAATTACGTTATTTCAGCCAGAGCAGACATTGACTTTGCTCCACAAGAACGTTATACAACAAACAAAAGTCACTCATGATTGCTATGACCTTAGACATTGACCGTATGAACAGCCGCAGCCGCAGCAGCAGCAGCTAAGGCTGGGGTTTCGGGAAGTGCGATAATGTTAGGAGAATGGCAGAAGCAGGTCTTGGGACGTACGCTGGGGATAGCTTTGGAAGCAAAAGGGTAACAACAAGCCAAAGACATGTTGGAAAAGGAACCAAATTGCCACAGGGTGGGGGATGCCTGAGGTTTTTGAGCTGTTCAGAAAAGAATTTTTGTTTGTTTGCTTGTTTTTTTTTTTTTTGAGACAGGGTTTCTGTGTGTTGTCCTGGCTGTCCTGGATCTTGCTCTGTAGACCAGGCTGGCCTTGAACTCTGAGATCTTCTTGCCTCTGCTTCCTAAGTGCTGGGATTAAAGGTGATACACCACCATGTCCAGTGCAGAAATTTTTTTTGGAAGACTGCTTTATAACACGAGAAATATAAAAACCATTCCACTCATATAGAAATATATTTTTATTACATTTAAGCTAGCATACAAAGTAACAGGTTTCCTTGTGGGATGTTTATACAGGCTTTGTTCTGATTCACCTTCTAACCACTGCTCACCTTTGTCTCCCTGAACCCCCCTTGATGGTCCCCCTTGATGGTCCCCCTTGTCCCTTCCAGTAGCCCCTTTCTGGTCTCATGTCCTATGCATCCCACTAAGTACTTTTTCTTCCCTTTCCTCCTCCATCTCTTAAGATCCCTTCTTCCTCTCTCATGATCCTTTTTCTTGCTCTCTCTCTCTCTCTCTCTCTCTCTCTCTCTCTCTCTCTCTCGCTCTCTCTCTCTCTCACACACACACACACACACACACACACTCGAACACACGCACACACGCACACTTAAATGTAGTTTTGCATATGAAAAAAAACGTGGCATTTGCCTTTCTAAGTCTGGCTTATTTCACTTAGCATAATGATGTCAAGTTTCACTCATTTTCCTACAAATGTTATGATTTCATTTTTCTTACAAGAGAATAAAATTCCATTGGGTATATATGCTATCTTTATCCATTCTGCCACTATGGAAATAAGTATGGAGGTTTGTCAAAAGAACTAACAGCAGAACTACCATATGACTTCTAGGTATATACCCAAAGTCTTACCATAGACATACTTGTACATCTCTGTTTATTGCTGTATTGTTTACAATTGCTAAGGAATGGAAACAGTTTTGATATCAGTCAACAGAAATAATATTTTCATTGGGCACTGAAAATTGGTAAAAAGGTTTCCTGATACGAAGGTGTAAAATATGACTAATTGTGTAAAATGGTGAAGCAGGAACTTTGGGGGTATAGAGAAAAGTTCAGGGGGGCTCAGGAGATCTACGTGAGAAGAGAGTTGGCAGAAAACATAGAGGGTCTGCTTTGTGGCCACAAAGCCCCTGGTGGGCCCAAGCTGAGGGCCTGGAGATTCATATTGCAGGTGAGTCAACTTTCACTTCAGAATGGCACAGGGCACAGGACAAGACACGTAACTGGAGGCATGACACTTATTTCGAGCGTTTTTGTTTTGATTTGCCTTCATCTGTTTTTTGTTTTGTTTTGTTTTTCATTTTCTGAGGCAGAGTCTCACTACAAAGCCCTGGGTGGCCTTCCAACTCTCTGTAAACCAGGCTGGTTTCTCATTCACTGCAATCCTCCTGCCTCTGGTGCTGAGATTGCAGGTATGAGCTACTATGCTGGGGCTTGTAGTTTTCTGAATTCTTGTGATTTTTTTCAGGACTCCCGTGCCATAATAAATCTGCATTTCATATAATAGATAATGCATTTTTTCTAAATCTCCAAGACAGGTAGATGGCCAGGGGAGATATCTCCACTTCATTCTACATTTTAGTCATTTGCAACACCGTTACAGTTTTGAAGGCATGCCTTCTATCTGGAGAAACACATTGGACAGATAATCCTAAGAGAAGGATCAGAAGAAGAGTGTCTACCACTTGCCCATGGAGGAGACTTCAGAGGTAAAGGGGTGGAGGCAATATGAGTATGGAGAGGAGCTTGTCTCTTAGGCCTTTTCTCCCCCTCCTTCCGGCCCTGGCTTCGATGTGCCAATCCACTCTTGGAGGCTCTCTTTTCTTCTTGAGTTTCCCGGAGGACTGTGCATCCAGCGGAGGAGTGGAGCACACCACTGCCCAAGCTAATCAGCAACCTGTATGTATCATAGGGATAGATGAAGGGTAGTCTAGTCAGAATAAATCCCAGAATTTATGCCAAGGATGTAGAGGAGGGGTGGGGAAGATACTCTTCCACTCAAGTAGAAGCTGCAGAGATGAAACCCCAGAAACCAGTACAACCTTCTCAGCACTTGGACTTTGAAACAGGAGCAAGGAAACAAAGAAATTTGAGCCTTGGCTCCGTTTGGGTACTTTTACTACAGGAGCAGATACATACTTGCCTAAACCAGTTTCGTTTGTATCCTTTGTCCCTTACAGCCAATAGAATCCTCACAGAAGTGGAGGAGAGGAAGCCTCTTCTATTTCTACATCTTGCATTCACTGAAGATGGCTCATGGGCCAGGTTCCAAGAAAAACAATCAGATTAGAAGAACCCTGTATTTTTTTTTTCAGGCTTCACTTGTAGTGGGTAGCCATTCCAGCTTTGATCTGGAAGTTCCAACCCCCACTGAGGCTTCAGTAACTGTCACACCTACAAGGCGGGGCCAAGGGAGGACCCTGAAGACCTGAGAACCGGATGGGCCAGCTCTCTCTGTTCCTGGACCATAGACGGGGAGGTTGACTGAGCAGAGCTCTAGAGAAAACCGCTGGACTGTGCTCTAGAGAAAACCGCTGGACTGTGCGATACACCTTCCCCAGACCCTGCGACCTACCTGTCCCTTCAATTTGTAAGTTACGCCACTAATAAACTTTCCTTTTAACTACGTGGAGTGGCCTTAATAATTTCACCAATATTCACTCTTTCTTGTCTAAAAGTAATCCAAGTCTTCATCCACAGAAACCGTGCATGCAGAAAGAAAAGAGCTAAGCCTTTAAAATTTGACAAGTGGACATGCTTTTTAAGTCCGTGCTGGGACTCCTTTAAACACCACATACACACACACACACACACACACACACACACACACACACACACACACACACACACACTCACACAGGAAGGGGTTCCATTCATGGACTATCTTCTTCACAACAGAACAGTGATTTGCTACAAAGCTCAATGAGAGCAATACCACATACAAGCTATTAGTTCTTCAAGCCAACACCTGCTTCTGAAGCAGCTGCGTAAAAGAAACCCAACGTTTATGCATCAAAACCACATGTAACTCCGAACCTAGGAAATAAAGCTGTACACTAAGTTTCCAGTTTATAAAGCTGTTCTGTCACAAGTCGACTCTGGTCTAGAGGACTGAGGAGCTGGTCTGGCACTTTTATTGCCTTAGCGGACTCCAGCTGCTGCAAGATCACCACCTCTGTTAGTTAGCTGTGTCCTCCCAGTCACTCAGCCCCAGCCACCGCTGGTCATTGCGATGATTTGGTGCCTTCACGGAAACCCATTGACCCCAGAAACAATTATCAGCTATTTCACCCAGCTCGTCCAATGTCAGAAATGTGTTTTTCAATGACACATCAGATTTCAGTTGATCCACCATAGGACAAACCCCACCACACCCCCCAAAAACATTCAATAATGTTCTCTTTTTCTCGCAGTGGGTGTTCCAAATACAGGGCACAGTGTGGCCAACAGTTATAAACCTACAAAGAAACAGACATTGTTTTTAGAGTTCTGTGGGATAGTTTGATGAGATTCCCTTCAATAAATGCTCCCAAACCAGACATTGCCTGTAGAACATTAAACGATGCGTGGTTGGGATGATAAATTTGATAGCTGTACAGCAGATGGAATTGAACAGAAATTGCTGTTGTCAGAGCCCAGCTAAGACCTAGAGAGAGTCAGGAACTCATACAGATGTGTGAGGCCCATGGGGAAGCCTTCACATTTAACTGAGTGCCCACTCTTGTGCTAAGGATCTTGTCCATTTTTGTTGTTTAATAAATGTGTGCGTGAATGAATGGATGGATGGATGAGCTTATGTTCCCAATTATTACCTTGCTCCCATGTCCTCTTCCTGTAATAACCCTGAAATTGAAAGAACCCCAACGTCTCTTCCACAGATAAGGCCTCTCTATCATGTTGCTTGCTCCCATTCGACTTGACTCTTGCTTGTCAAGCCCACCACGCTACTCGATGTGTGTTATCCTGCTGGAAGATTGGAATCATGCCTGGAATGTTCCCCGTTGCCCTTATTACATTCAGTGAACGGATAACACACACTAAAACTGATTAAGAACTCATACCTCTCTTTTGCACACAAGAAAAGCAAGTCACCCAAAAGTTAAGTGACTTGTGCAATTTAAATAAGTCACCTTGTGGGAGATACTAGAGAAAATATGTGACTACCTTCAAATCATTTATTCTGAGACATGCTCCAAGAGTTACTTTTTAAGTCTCAAAGTCATGTTAGCAATTTTCTGCTCACATAATTTCAATACTTCTCAAAGTATCTTGAGTAGAATAAGTCAGGATAAACACCTACATCCCTGAGTGTGCTCACTCCTTTGTACTAACGGCTCTCTGTATCTAAGTCTCCGTTCGTGGCTCCATGTTGCAGAGTTGTACACAGGAAGGCCCCATAAAACATGAACCTTGAATAGCTGGTAAGGGAGAAAGCAAAACATCTATCATAAAATAGGAAACCGAAGCCAAAACCTTCACCCTCCAAATGAGAATAAAATAAAGTGATAATAGCTGTCTTAGGGTTTCTATTCCTGTGAAGAGACACCATGACCATGGCAACTCTTATAAAGGAAAACGTTTCATTGGGGCTGGCTTACAATTTCAAATGTTTACTCCATTATCATCGCAGAAGCATGGCAACATGGGGGCAGACATGGTCCTGGAGAAGGAGCTGAGAGTTTTACAGCCAGATCAGCAGTCGACAGGAAGAGAATGCCACACTGGACCTGGTTTGAGCATCTGAGACCTCAAAGTCCACCCCCAGTGACACAGTTCCTTCAACAAGGCCACACCTACTCCAACGAGGCCACACCTGCCACTCCCTATGAGCATATGGGGACCATTTTCTTTCAAACTGCTACACTAGCTCACTTTTATTAAATGGTTCAAGTGTCAGCATTATACTGCGCATGCCCCTCGTTCTTATAGAAGCCTGGAGTAAAGGTATGTGTCAGACATAATGAATGATCTTACCGTGTGGATGTAGAGAACCTTGGGGGAGACTAGTAGTTTTCCCAAAGCCACAAGGGACAAGACGTGGATGGAAACGTGGATCTCTCTGACGAGCCTGTCTCAGAGGCAGAAGCCAACAGTGGCTGCTGCTGCACATGCTGGCCTCTACAAGAGTTTTGGAGTGGGGTGCTGGAGATGTGGCTCTGCAGTGAAGAGCACGGGCTGCCTTTGCAGAGGACCCTGCTTTGTTTCCCAGCACCCACGTCGTCCATAATCCCGGGGCAGCGGAGGCTGAGGCAGCGGGATGATGAATTGAAGACCAGACTGAGCTATGTCGTGAGACCCTGTTTTGAACAACAAAATAAAACAGAACAACAACAAAAACAAGCCAACAAAAACCCCAAAGAATATACAAGAGGAAAGTAGAAAAATATTGAAAATTTGTGGTTAATAAACGTTAATAGAAACACACTGTTGACCTGGGCTTTTTGATGTTTATACTATTTATTGACTTGGTGAAATTATTAAGTACTCATTTTCTTCCCTAGTTGTATTATTTTGTGTCCTGTTTCTATTTGTTTGTTTTGATTGCTCTTTGCTTTTGAGACATAGTCATGTTATGTAGCTGGGCTGGCCGCAGACTTGGGTCTCCCTCTCTGTGCTTGGTGTAGAGGCGTGCAGCACCACATCCGATGTCCTGACTTGCTTTGAAAAGAGGGCTCTTGAGTGATGTGCACACCGGGCTCCATAGGATGGAACCTGACCTTGGGAAGTAGGGTCACTGTCATGGTCATGCTGTGCTAACCGTGTGTTTGACCCAGGATCTAGGCTGTAAGCAGTCACATACAACTAGTGTTGACTCCTAGGAGCTTCTTGCCATCTGAGAACTGGATTAGAATGTTCTGGATAATAAAGAGTTAATTCCTGTCTTCGCTCCGACCAGCTGCCAGTCTCTGGCTGAGTATAAAAGTAAGACTGGCCGGGTGGTGGTGGCGCACGCCTTTAATCTCAGCACTCGGGAGGCAGAGCTAGGCGGATCTCTGTGAGTTCGAGGCCAGCCTGGACTACCAAGTGAGTTCCAGGAAAAGGCGCAAAGCTACACAGAGAAACCCTGTCTCAAAAAAAAAAAAAAAAAAGTAAGACTGTCCAGTTTGTATTTGTCTGTTTCTGGTTTCAAAAAGGTGGCTGTTTGTAGA